TCTTAATGTGTTTTCAGAACCATAAATGTGTATTTATTTATAAAACAAAAGGGGAAGATTTATACATAGACTCACACTAAATCAGATTTATATTAAAATCTAGACAAGGAAAAATATTTTCTACCTTGGCTGAGACCTTTTAAGTCAAGCCTCAAGTTCAGAATAAGGTTTTATTTATGTTTTACTCATGTTTAAAAGTGGAAGTTTATTTCAAGCATGTCACTGTGCCTTTCAAATAGCTGGCAATTTCATTCCAGATGAGCTCAGTGTAGTTCTTAATATGGACAGGTTTTGAGGCAGAAATAACGCTTTGAAAATAGAAGACCTGGGTCATAACTAGGGTCATTCTGCTGCACAGCCAAGTGAAGTAAGTGGAACATATTAAACGTGATTCACCTCAGCCATATTATTCTCTGCAAGCTGGGATTCTTTTTGACTCACTCTAAAACATCATCTACAGACACAGCTATGTTATTGGCATAAAGTGTTTGCTCTAAGAAAAAAAACACACTCCTTAACAAACTTGGTGTACCAACTTAAGTCCTGGTACAGGCAAAATGTTCCTCTACAGGGAAATGGTGTAAGCTGTACCAACAAAATGACTCTTTTGCAAGTATAAGCAGCATTTATTGTTTTAGACTACTCAGAATAGTCATACTAGTGAACTTTTTACAGTGCAGATAAACCCCAAGGAAGTTTATACAGGCCACTTTACAATTTGAGCATTTGCTGCAGAACTCTCATCTAGAAGGAAAAATAGCTCCCATGGCTGGAAAGAAAACTCAAACATGAAGATCAAATTGACTACATACCAATGCGTTATTACAGCTTCAAAGATGAACTGTTCTAGTCATCTCAGTGGGACACTGAGTTAATGCACTTTTTCTGGCATCCCAAGTCCTATCTCCCGCTGCAAAGCAACACTGTTTTATCTTTCAAAAAATACAAGTCACTCTGTTCCTCCCAGTAGCTTCTACAATAAAAAAAATCTGCAGTATTTTAAATATGTCAGTGATTTAAACTAAAAATAATTCATTATAGACTACATAAGAAGAAAAGATCTTTTATGGGTTGGATCTGGCTTTATATATAATTCACTCAAAAATCACTTTAGGTATAGCTGCCACAGAGCTTTCCAGATGCTATTGGAAAAGCTACAGCCACCAGTGTAAAATGCTTAGTTCAGCATACGGCAGAGTGCATGGCATCTCATTTATACAGTCGTATTAGTCTTGCACTAAATGTTCTGATCATACTGAGTTGACATATTTGCCAATGCAGTGAAAGCACAAAGTTAGAAACAATTACATCATTAAGTGCTTGGTGACAGATTCCTCTTCGTATCATAAACAATATTCGAATCGGTTTTACTATGTCTATCACTGTGATCCTACCCTGAAATGTCAGTCAGAAAAAGCAAACGTCAAAGTCATACTTTCTGTCCCTATAAACAAATATATATGTGAATACTGTCAACCTTAAGAAATTAAGAGTTAAAATTCAAACACTTGATTACATTTGCATAGTTGTGAAAATTTATTAATTACAGCGTAATGAAAATCAACTCTTTTGGTACAGGCAGAAGTAAAAACATACATTCTATAGAAAAAAAATCACAGCTTTAAAAACTGGCTTATATTGTTTAAAATGAGTAACTCTGGTTGCATTTCAAGGAATTGGACTTTAATACTTAATTTTATGCCAAACCATCACGCAGTGCAAGAAATATTCTGCAACAGTACAAATTCTATACAGCAGTCTTCAGAGCATTTAGTCTCACAGAATCATAAGGTGGCAAAAAATTTGTGCTGAGTACTTTTCCCATTTAAACATTAAATGTTGCTGAAGTTAAAATTTTACTTTCTTTACATACTCTCTATTACAAAAATATCAAATTGCAAATTTGACAGTGTATTCTACAAATAAATGCGCCATGGACAACAGGAATGGCAACTTTGGGACAGTTACATTACAAAGTGTATTATAAAAATAAATTATATAGCAAACAACAAACAAAATCAAGCACGTGCTTTAGGCTTTGCAAATAAAAGTGAAATTCAGCTGGCAGAAAGACTGCTACTCTGTCTCTGACTAGGTACTCTCAAAATATCAGCAAGGCCATTCATTCTTAAAGCTCTACCAAGAAAAAATATATAAAACCTAATGGAAGCAATAAAATACTTCCGTGAATTATCAGTAGCACAAGTGACCCTGGTGTTGATGGTAGAGAGCTTCTACAGTGATCCATCCAACTGGTAAGGAGGGTAGTGCACACAGAGAGTATATATTGGGGGTAGTATCTCATCTAGAGTTCATGCGTAACTGATGAATGATGACACTTTCTAAAAGAAAAGATAGCAAAACGTTTGGTTTTATGAAACTGTAAATAAAATTACAAGTGCCTTTAAAAAAGAACAATTACAACGAAAGTGCAAAGCATTTTTTCAGAAACATCTCGTAGACGACAGATCACTGTTTGGTAAGAACTGCTCTGGCTAATGCTATGGACAATGGGAAACCATATTAGTACCAGGCTAGGGCTCAGGAGCCCTGGGCTCCCTCCTCAATGCCAACACTAACGCTTGGTTTTCCGTAAGGAAAAGGCATAGTATAGTTACATAAATTAAATCATAGGCATACTAAGGTTCCAGTCCTACATCTGAATCAGGACGAGGAGGACTTGAAGTTGGGACTCGTCAATCCTATCTGAGCAAATCCATGCAAAACTTGCTGGTCATTTTGAAAGGAGGATGAAGAAGACATTCGGGGTCATTTCCCATTGTGGTTGAAATTTGACTTAGAAATCGATACTGGTTTTGTCCATATATATACATTGAAGAGTTAGGAGCTAGCTGAATCAGGTTTTCCAACAGAGAATCGTTTTATTAGAAAATCTTCAATTAGTTTTACTCACAGGTAGTAAAAAGTCCACTTGAATTTTGCTGTTAACTGTAACGAGGATAAATGTCAGCCACAGTATGCAAAGCCAAGTGTATATTTAGCTCTTCAAAGGCTGGATTTAAATTTGCCACATGTGTAATGGAAGAGATCCCTGATCCTGATTAACCTCTAGGCTCTGCTGAAATATTCAATAACAATGACCTGGTCTTCTGTTTTTCGATCTAAATATACTCCTCTTATCCACAGATATTTTTAAATAAGAATTTAGCTATCAATGACATTGTCAGTGTATTTTTTTCTAAAAAGATATATTTTATGGGTTTGAAATAATACAACTGTACCAATGCTAACTAGGAACATATAATAATACACTTTCAGAAATACTCATTCCTGTAATTGAAATTTTTTGTTTTCTTTCCTGATACTTTCCTCTCCTAATAGTCTGAAGATTTTTCAAAATTTATGAGACGCGAAAAAAATTATGCTCGTCATATCATTATTCCCTTTCACTTTTTTATTAACTTGTGCCTTGGTCTGGTTCCTGAATATTTGCAAGATGTTTGATTAACTTATATTATACACCAGGAACCTGCCACTAGGTGGCATGTTCTAATTACATTATTCATGCATGTTGAATCAGAAAAGCAGGGCAAAGGCAACATTCAAGGAAATATGTTAAGGCAAATGAAATAACAGAATTTCCAAAACAACAATTTTTTTTCCATTTAATTTATCGTTAAAAAATGATTTTCAACAAGGCATCTATACCTGCTCTCCCAGATTTGAGCAATGAACCTGAAAGAGCCACAAACTGTGTTAAAAATGTATCTTCACAACCAATGCTGTTTTTAACTTCAAGCTCTTGATGAATATATGTAAAAAGCTGCATTTACGTAAGATGAGATTCTAATCTCAGGTGAAATTTCCCATTAACTTCAATGGGAGTCACACGAACTCTCTAAGAAGCAAATTGTTCTTAATGTTCACTATGTAAAATAGAAATAAATACAAAGAACTTAGAAACAAAATCTAAAAAATAAATGGGTAGCAGAAAAACGTCATCTTCCCTGTAAAGGCTCGATTACTGATTGAACAGCAAAACTACAGTGGGTTTCTGAATCCAAGTCATCCTCCTATAGACCAAATATAACAATTATGCAGAAGAGAGTACATTAATATTAAGAAATCAAGTGATTTCCACTTTTAATATTCATTTCTTCATTAACTTATCATACACAGATGCATATGTATGCTTAGTATTTTCTAACAATTTGTTTTGTATTGTGTAAAAATGCACACACACACACACACACACACACACACACACATATATAATTATATACTAGTTACTAAAACATATCCAAACAGTTATTAGCCTAGAATTTTAGAACGGTAGACTCTGTCAGAGTTTTGTAAGACTAACCTTTGTAGGAATATAATTTTTTTCTATAGGATATGATTATATAGATTTTTTTAGGATTATAGATCTGAACATTTACAGGATCAATAAATTCACTTAAACAAAAATGAATGTATTTGAATGATAGGAAAAGAGAACACAGATATAAAAATGCTAATTCTGATTTCACTCTGACTGATGTAAGCCAGAATTTCTCAGAGAAATACATCATTAGCACCTGGCTATCAAAAATACCAATTCATATAATGAAGCACATCAACTGACACTTTAACATATGAAGTTAAATTTCTTCTTATACTTCATACAAACAAATGACACAAAAATGTATGTACCACAGACAACACAAGTCCAAGTGACAGAAGTAGAGA